AGTTACACCTGGGGAGTTACTCGGGAGTTTTCCATTGTTAGAGACGATGAGACAAACAGGCTTGTCCCTGAGCAGTTGGGGAAAACTACCATCGAGACTTTACATTTCTGATTATAAATGTAGCTTATCAGAAGTCCATAAACTTGAGAGAAAAAAAATGCAAAAAGATTCTTTTGAAAGACACAGGCCATTGTGGTTACAGATCTTGGCTTGAATTAACAAGGTCGCTGAGTTGGCGGGTCAACGTTTACAGAGTTGCATGGAGGTGCCACAATTCTTTTAACTGAAGCGGTTTCAAACACAGAGCAGTAATTTAAGCTGTGAGATATGCTGACACCTTCAGTGATGCCATGCAAACTCGTAAGAGATAGACATGGATAAAGTTTTGTGCCTCACATCCAGCTCACTTGAAATACATTCTTGCCAGGTTTGAACACATACGTCCCTTTTTAGTTACCCTAGGTTGGGAAGTTTTACATACTCCAGACAGATAGCCAGCACTCTTTTTAGAAAAAGAGAAGCCCTCCTCTCTCCGCAGAATCCATCTCGGGCTTGTAAGGCATCTTTGAATCCAGACATCATCCTGTATTAAAAACTTGTGCTTGCATTTTACAAAAAGCAGATCAAAGTGAATGTTTCATTGAGACCAACTCTACCATCTTATAAAGAGGAAGGGCAGTGAGGGGGAACATACACATGGAGGGAGAACATTTTAGTGGATTTCTGGAGTCAGATCAAAACTGCAAGACTGTTAAAAATTGCAGAAGGAAGCTGTTTTAAGAAGCAAGCCAAAATCTTATGTAGACTAGATCATGATGAAGTGTGTATTAAGTAACCTCACATCAGGCAAATAGTTTACAGTTTCTAGAACTTCTAAATTGTAAAACTAGAAATAAATTAGAAGTTAAAAGTTTGCCCAAGAAGAGATAATAATTGCTATTTTACACAGTTATAAGGGTTTTCACAATCTTGTTATTAACGGCAATAGTTGAAACTTTTGCCTGTACACAGACGCAGTGCGGAACAGCCATACAGAAGTTTATGATTTGCAACAGGGGCCTTACCTTTACAATGTATTTCCTTTTCTACTTGACTATAGGAAGTATTTTAAATATGCAGTACAAAATAACATCAGCTGGAAAAATAAGCTGTATCTTCCGTATATAAATTTTATTCCACTGGACACCATACAAAATATTAAACTTAAAAAAATGAGAATATGAATTTGACATTAATGGTAAGTACAGTTTTAACAATGAATTGGTCTTCAATAACAAGTATAGGAGAGGCACAAATTGTGCTACAGCAGGTCTAGAAGAGGGTTCACAACTTTATTTTGGAAAAGCTAAATTTTTCAGGATTACTTATTTAAATTCAATTTACAATAACTGACCAATTTACAAATATTTACACAAAATTAAAACAGAAGTGTAGCTCTTTGTAGCAGTGGTAAGGTTGTGGGGTGTTTTGTTTTGTTTTTCTTTTCTTTTTTCTGCCCCTCGCCCCCTTTTTTCCCCCCAAAGCACACATCACTACTACTTCAAATATGCAAAAGGAAAAATTAAAAAGTACCTTGCCTACTCTGTGAATATGAAGCATTTATGTATATTGATTTGTCCGTTTTTATTTCATCTTCTTTGTAGCAGAACTGTTGCTTGAAAATTCCAGTTTAGATTACAGTTCTTGATATCTAGAACACTGCCAACCATAATCTAGCTTAATTTTAAAAAAATGTTTTGTTGTTCCATGTAAAAGGGAAATAAAACTGGAAAGTGCTAAGTTGAGCAAAAGTGCTTACTGCGATTAAACAGATGTAAAGCATGGGCTGTCTGTTCATCAAGAAGTGGGTACTGTGAGCAATGCCTCAAGCACATAGTCAGACTAGCATATTGTTCAGCTCTGAATGTCTTTATTTCATGGTTAAATGCGTCTAAATTAATGATTACACAGATTATGGAAACAACAAGTCAGTATATCCCCATACTTTCCTTAAAATGGATTTATTCTTGTGGTTTCCTGCTTGAGTTTCTTCTAGAAGTCAACACGCAAGCTTTTCAGGAAACATATATTTGAATGAACAGCTGTACTAACAAATGTCAATTATAAAATATGCCATCTTTCTTATAAACATTTCCTTAACAAAAGTTTGCAGAGAAAAACATGTCATAAAAAAAATGGTGTAACT